GCAACATAACAAAATTGAAAAAAGTGAAGGGGTCTGAATACTTTCCAAATGCACTGTATATAATATTGAGGATACCTGGCTTGGTATTGGTATTTGTGAACAAATTCTTAGAATATTAGTTGACTGTAAACTGAATATAAACTAGCAGTGGAGCTGTAAGAAAGGCAAATGCAATTTTAAGCTGCATCAAGAGATGTATAATTTCTAAATCACAGGCATTTTGTAGCAGAGCCGTCGTGGTCTATGGTAGCCCAAAATCAGGCTCTGGTAATACCTTGTCAGATTAGCAAATTTTATTAAAGGCATAACGCTTTTGTGAGCTATAGCTCAGTTCATTAGTGAAATGGAGTGGCTAGACTGATAATTGGGATGAGAGGAGGAAGGAGGGGAAGACAGAAGAGAGATTGGTTATGCAAATGCAGATGTATTTGTCTCAACAAACAGAATGGATTTTTAAAACATTACAATTGTTAATTGATAAGGTGCTTGTCATTTGTCTAACATGTAATCTGCATTTGTATGTTATATTTTGAGCACTGTCAAGGTACTTCAAGCTTTTCTATTACAAATGTAAAATGGTATATAAATAAATAATGTGTCAAAGTCGTCATTGTTTATAATCAACAAACCGGTTTTTTTTCTGACACCGCCCCCAGTTTAAAAAGGTATTTCATTTATATGACCTGATAAAAATTAAGAAATATGTATAGTTAAATTTTGCTGAGGATTATTGTTTCTCTAGGATATAAACAGCACAAGAGCAGTGGGAATAATAGTGAAGCATTTATTTATCCCACAGCATTAATATTTCATTTTTGTCTGTCCTCAGATGGATGATTTATTTAGGTTATTCTTAAATGTTGAAGAATATAATTTGCAGTTCTTACTTCCATAAAAGTGCATCCACAGAGTGGCATAAATAACATAAAGACATATTTTCCAGGTACCCCACGGTCTTTTTAATGAACTCATTTCTACATAGCTATATCTTAAATCTCAGAATCCCTTTAGAAAATTGTATCTTCACTTACTAATAAAATATACCTTTCAATTTTTGGCTTTTATCTAGAAATTATCTTTCTTTATATTCATTATGCTAATTCAGCACCCAATAACGTTGACCATGCTATAATGTCAGAACTTTAAAATTATGTGACAAAAGTAATGAATCTGAAATATTGAAGCTGCAATAGTATGTTCTCTTACTTTGCAGGAAGTCCTGTTTTCTCATTTATTTTCATGTACTATCACTGTTATGAGGACATTCTATATTATATTTATTAAGCAATAGTGCAGATCTTCAAAATGAGAAAGAATATGCTAATATACATTGATTTTTACATTTTCCTCTTCAGAATTTTATCAAATTAATAAATACAGGAGAAACTAATTTGGATGGAGCAATAGGTAAGTATTTTCAAGATACTGTATTTGCCATCTACTGTAAAAAGCACATTTTTTTTCTTTTGATATCTGAAATATATGCTACCCTTTTGCCCTTACCCAAACAGGTCAAACAGCTTCAGAAGAACTGGTTAAGACTGTTTTATTAACATTTGAAGCAATAATTCAACATCCAGCACTGCTGATGCTTTACTATTCAACAGTAAGTTGTGGTACCACGTAAAACAGATGCATGCTTACAGACTGCACTTTTACTAAAACAGTATTTCAAATTTTTCATTAGGTATTAGGATCATGGCTTTAGATATTAACTGTTTTAAATGAATTTTTGTAAATAAAAGTTTTTTAAATTATTTTTGAGTAAAGTTTTTTTCCCAATTTTATACAAAAATGATAGCAAATAACCTTCAGTATTCTACATTTGATTGTGATTTATAAGGTCAATTTTTGATAAGAGACACTGTATAGTTTTACATGACACAAACTTTAATTTTTCTTTTGTTGACTGGCTGTACCAGTGAGGGGACTTTTATATAACTATTGTGAGTAAAGTTCAAGCCTCCAGGACCAATAAGACTATGATGACATTTCATATAACATATGGTAGTGGTGGTTATCTGAGATTTCATGTAATACTGTCTTACTGGCCACATTTTAAGAAAGCCTAAACATGTTTTAAACAGCTATCTTAACCATTATTATTTTTTAAGCATTTAATAAATATTAGGTGCTGAACAAAACTTAATAAGTATAATATATGCTTTACCTTACATTAACTATGTCAAAGATTACTACGTTTTGGACTTGGAAATCTCAGAAATACATTTCTTTGTTTATCTACTAGGATTTCCAATTTTGGCTTCTAGGAAGATATTTACTAGTAAATGGATCTATCATTCATATTCAGTTCAGACTTCATCCTTGCAACATATTGATGTTAAATAGCATTTTCATTTTATTTAAATCAATTTATACGGTTGCCCATCTCACAAATGCAACTCTGGGCGGCTGACAAGGATTTTAAAAAATTCAATATAAATACAATATACATAAAATACATTTCCCAACCAACTAAAACACAAAGTGGCTCCTGAAAACACCATACACCAGCAGTGTGGGCTTAATTACTTTCCTGGCCCCATGCCTGGGAAAACAATAATAACTTCAAGGCTTTCTGAAAGGTGAGCAGAGTTGGGGCTAGCCAAATCTTGGATGGTATGGTGTTCCAGAGGGCAGGCACAGCTATGGAAAACACTCTCCCTGGACCCTATTAGATGACGATCCCTGATTGACAGAACCCAAAACATGTCCTCCTAGCTGACCTGTAATGGTACAGGTAGAAGCACTGGCAATAAAATAGTCCATCAAATACCTTGGCCCCATGCCATGTAGGATTTTATAGGCAATAACCAGCACCTTGAATTGTACCTGGAAGCAAACTGGGAGCTAGTGTAGCTCACAGAGCAAAGGTCTGTAATTGCCCATGCCACTACATTCTGGACCAAGTGAAGCTTCCAAATGTTCTTCAAGAGCAACTCCATTTGGTGTACATTGCAATCATCTACTTGGGAGGTGATCAAAACACAAGTGACCATGCGGAGTGCCTCCTGACCCAGAAAAGCTGTGCAAAGGCCCCCCTGGCTACCTGCTCTTCAAACAGGACCTCCAATTTGAAGTGAATTTGAGCAACTTTATCTGCAAGATATTTAGTATGTTTCTCACCATGGCCCTGTAAATAGATCTCCATCCCAAACTTCCTCAGAACAGACCAGGTTACCCAAAATAGGGCTACCGGGTGGCTATCAGAAGATGCAATAAGGGTAGAAAAGTAAGAACACTTTGTGACTCTTATTGCCACAGGGTAGGTCCTAGTAGTGGCTCTTTATCATGTTCAGTTGGATTCACTCCATGTTGTCCTTCAGTGGTACTCTAGATGTCTTCTCCTCAGCTTCATCTCCTTAAGCTCCTCCATAAAGCAAGAGGAGACCCAGGATCTACAGGAGAGGAGAGGCCACATAGGGACAATCCAATCAGAAGCCCCAGTTGTCCTCTCATTCCAAATGATGACTAAAGCTTTGGCTGACTGCCAAATCTTTGGGAAGGACCCTGAGTTCCCTCTGGAATCTGTTGGGACCATCTGGTTCCTGGAGCAGAAAGATCAAATGCAGCAGTGGAGTAATATACTATTGCTAATATAGCATCCTCTTACTTAGAGAATGTTTTCTAATACAGTAAATACTCATAACCCAATCTCACTTAATTTAAGCAAGGCATGTTCAGCCAGGTACCATTTCTGAGAACAGTTAACCCTTCATTATTTCTCCCAATTTTCTGTGTTACATTTTTGCTTTCCCAGTGCCCCACCCCCCAAGATTTCCTTGATGATGCAGAAATAATCACAGGGGAGTCCTTTGAGGCCTGATTTTTGTTTCATATGGATTAGACCATTATATCCAATTCTCTGGATATGTATCTGTGATTGTTATTTGTCTTGGATTGACAGTAAATAGCAAATGGCTGCTAGATCAGAAAATGTAGATTGAAAGTTAAGAGCCCCATAAAGGTTATTAGAACTTATATGATTATACTGTCTATTAATTTTCCTGATATCAGTTCCTGCGGTGACAATGTGCCCCAGGCATCAGTAGTGATGATGAACAAGTAAAATCTCTAAAAACATGAAGTTTGAAAATAAGATACAGTTGAAATATATTGAGCATAACTGATACAGAGAAAGAAAGAATTTTCTCAGGTTTTTGGAAAGTATGCTTTTTCTGGACTTTTGGCTGTAGTAAATGGCTTGGTTTGATAAAAGCATGTTTAGTTTGTGTGTACTGTGTATCACTGTGGTACTATACTGAAAGTGGAAATGAGCTGTTTCCAAATACATGACTCTTGATTACATTCTTGATCAGCAATGAAGTCGACCTGAGAAAAAACGGAATTAAGAGCTTTACAGTCCTTAGGTATACCTTCATGAGAAAGCATTATTTTCATATTACTACTGACTTTTATCAAGAGAGCTGACAATAATATTCACACTACTTTATAATATTTATCTATTTCCTAACCTCAGCTGCTAGGCTTTGGATTTAAGCAGTAAAGTGGCAGAATTTTTGTTCTCAAGGGAGCAATTTGCTGAGCTCAACAATCTTTTTTTTTTTTCTTAACCATTATGTTTGTAGGATAATTTATGTTTTGTATTCAGTCAGGATAAACAGCAGAATGAGCTACAGTGCAATCCTCAAAGATCTGAGAAGATATGGTGGGCATTTTCAGTTTATTTAAAAAAATAGATCTTGGACCCTCATGCTCATATGATGCCTCAGACACTGATCTAGGGGAAATTTCACTAGAGAAAAATTACTGAACTTAATTAGTACTAGCACCCATTTCATTAAAGAGGTAGTATATATTATGTAAGCAACACATAAATATGAAAAATATTTTGTGCCAATCCTGAAAATGAAAAAAAATGAAAAAAAGAACAGATATAAATGTTCAGAATGAACATCACATGTTTTCATAAATAATACAGAAAGAATCCATTTGTACAATGTACGTATTAGCTTTCATATTGATCCTTCTTTTCATTAAAAAGTAGGTTAATTTTCATTATAGTTACGATTAAATATGGCTGATCAGATATATGAATAAAGATTATAATGAAGAAATGAATAGAGATTGCAATTATAAGATTTCCATTTTCTAATGTATGAGTAATCTAAACCAGACATTTACTACACTCTTCTCTTTAGATTATGGATTGTGTCCTGCCACCTTTAATTTCCTTGGTCTTCAGTCAAAATGGTAAATATACAGCCACATCAACCAAGATACTCCTTTTGCTTTAATTAGACACAAATGTGATGATGTTCTTGTTATATTGATTTTTCTAGTGGAATGGAGACTCTTCAGCTTGCGGTTGCTCACAGAAAGTACTTCACTACTTCTAAGCCACAAGGTCATTGCTGAAGAGAAAGAGAATCTTAATTCAAACAACAAACTTCTATGTCTCATTAGGAACTCATTGTTGCCTCAGTAAGTACCAAATCAAAGCTGGTTGTATAATCAATTTGGATTATCTGTACTTTTCTAAAATATAGCTTGGTTTTTATGACAAAAGTATGAGAGATGCTAATCATGATAAGGTATAACATGTTTTTGTCTGCTAGTCATAATGTAAGAAGCTTATGGAGCCTTTCGCCTTATTTATTTATTTAGTCGATTTATGGGCAAAGATCAAGAAGGATAATGGATGGACTGATGGAGGGATGTATAGATAGAGTTACATGCATATATTGAAAGATTCCTTGTAAAAAGTAGCAGATAGTAACAGCTCTGCCCTTATAAGAATGATTTTGCCTTCTAGCTAAGATAAGTCTGCCCTGTTGTAAAGCAAATATCATTATGCAATTCTGTTTTTATCTAAGGTACTTCTTTACCTTATGCAAGGTAAAGTATAGACAACTCAACTTCTTGGCCATGAACCACAGGCTGCTTTTTCTCAGGATGATTGGAACTGGGAACAATGTTTCATTATTTATGATGTTGCAGATAGTATTTATAACTGTACTTACTATGTTGAGTTCATATTGTACTCATTTTTGCTGCATCTCTTTTCACACAATTGCTGCTACATTAAAGACTAAAGGATTTTTAATAGTTTACAATATTTCATGAGTTCTTTCAGCATTCTGAGACCATCCTGAGAAGCTGTCAGCTATAGTGTGTGTATCTGACTTAAAACAGATTATAAAAATGAAGTATCTGTATCAGCTACAATAGGTCACCATTTGGGTAATATCTATCCCCTTATCAATCAAGTGGAAGTGACAGGAGTTCAACCAGAGGTAGAAGAAGATGAGTTGTTTACATTTCAAGACAGAGTGGTATTAAACAACTTTTCTCACAGAAAATTATGTTTGAAATGGTTATCTTTTTGTCATGTGTTTCCTTTTGAGTTAGATTTGAGCAGATTTTAATGGCACCTGACCCAATGCCAGCTTATGCACTGAAGCTGCTGATTTCCATTACAGAATACAACCCTGCTTTTATAGGGTAAGGAAACTCTCCTTTTATTAATCACAGTATAGAGAACTAGGTAGACTTAATGATTTTGATGGATTTTTTGACCCCACTGTCCCCTTTGAAAAAAATATATAACTTTACTTGTCTGGACACCAGCTACTACTGGCTTCTTCAGTCTCAAAAGTAGATTTCCAGAGAATTGCTCTTTTGAGGAAAATGAACCTAAAATCCTATGAATTCACAATTTTTATGACATGCTTTGGATCCTGGGCATCAGATGTTACTGTCATTATTTATTCAGTCTTAAACACATTTACCAAGGAGTAAGCTCTATTGAGCATGATGGGATTCCTGATTAATTATCTATAGCGATACATTGTCAACTGATTAAAAAGGCAATTCTGATAGAGTAACTGAAACTGTTAATATTGAGTAGAAACTGTGATTTGAAATCTCAAATTTTGTACACGGTTTTAGTGTAACATACAGTGGTACCTCGGTTACGAACGCCTCTGTTAACGAACTTTTCGGGTTACGACCAGCTCCGGCTGCAAAATTTTGCTTTGGCTTGTGAAATCCGCCTCGGGGTACAAACA